GAGATGGATGACTGAGATGGATGGAGATGGATGACTGAGATGGATGGAGATGGATGACTGAGATGGATGGAGATGGATGACTGAGATGGATGGATGGAGATGGATGACTGCTCTGCCTCCTGCCAGCCTCTCGACCACGTCCACTTCTCTGCTGCAGAGCCAAAGTCTGACACGCAGCAGGAAGAAGCTTTTTCTGCAGCTGTGGGCTGCACACAGGTGCAGCAGGTGTAAATAAATTTAAATAATGTAAAATATAATTTCCATGACAATCATGCGGCTCATCCATCAATCAGCTAATTGTGTGTCCACTTTTATTTTGAAAATCCGCGATAGAGCGAGTCCGTGAAAAACGAACCGCGAAGTAGCGACAGACTACTGTTCTAAATGTGTTTATAAATGTCAATAAAACTGTAAATATAACGGAGAATAATTTAGTTTTTTTGAAACGTCTCCGTTCGTCAGACACTGGTTTGGATTCGACGGCGTCGACAGGCGGCCGTGCTGCCGTGTGGTCTCCATACGTGAACTTTCTCTTCAGGACTTCTGATCCGCTCGATAATTTAAGCTAACTTGAAACACACCCACCACTAGACGGTGCGTCGACATCACCCTAGCTCAAGGTCACACATGAAGGTCACAGCAGTCTTTGCTACAGATGTAATAAATGCTGTCTTGTTTGTTGACTGTGTCGTATGCGGCGCTCCTGTCATGCCGTGTCCTGCTGGAAGCTGCTTTTAACACATTTCGTGGCTGCTCAGGTCGTAAAGGTTTCGGACTCCAGAGCCACAGGGAGCGACAGAAGTGTCTCTCTTCCTGTGGTAATTACTGCAGACACTTTGACACCATGTCCTTGTATCAGTCGGGGCTCGAGGGTAATCAGCCGCCGAGGCATTACCAAGAAAATTGAATTTCAGCTCCTTCATTTTCCTCTGTCATCCCAACGATCCTCCAAGAGAACGTCCAGACACGCCTCTGTGAACGGCTGCAACTCGTGTTGTAACTCACAAGGTTGATAAGAGCTGCGCTTCAGCTGCTCTCTGGAATAATGAGGCTTTAATTTCTCAGCTGAGCGTTTCCACTTTGATTGAATTAGTCATGTTTTGTTGGAGACGTATTCTGGCTCCTGTTCAGGGGTTGTCCTCTTTTCTTCAGGACCGGATGAAACGTCTCGGAGATGTTTGGTGAGAAAACAGCAGAACTTCAGAACCCAAACCTGGTAGCTCGTCTCAGACTAGTTAGATGTTTTAGGACGCATCGGGACTTTTCACCTTCAAACACCAAACCAGGCTCAGGTTTGCACTTGAATTATATTGAACACTTTTTCATCCCTCACAAATAAAATTCACATGTTGCACCCAACGTTAGCTTAAGTTACATCCGTCCGTCCGTCCGTCCGTCCATTCATCCGTCCGTCCGTCCGTCCGTCCATCCATCCGTCATCTTTACCTGCTTCTTCCTTTTTGGGTCACTGGTGTCCATGTCTAGCTCTCACTGTGTGAGAGGCGGGGGACAGCCTGGAGATGTCTCCAGTCCATCACAGGGACACCCATGCCATGTCTCCAGTCCATCACGGGGACATCCTGGACATGTCTCCAGT